GCCGTCTGCGGCGCGCGAGTCCTCGAAGGCGATGGCGCAATGATGAGGCGTCAGAGCGCCAGGCTGTCATCAAGCCAGTACCAGCCAAGCACTCGTGCTTGAGAGTTTTTTTGCGCTCGAGCCAGGGCATCATCATCCTCCCCCATCGGCTTCCTCCGTCCATTCATCATCATCATCCTCATCATCATCATCAGCATCATCATCATCATCAGCATCATCATCGTCATCATCATCATCGTCCTCATCATCATCGTGATCATCATCATCAACATCCCGATCGTTCTCGCACCCCACCTCCACCTTCTCAGATAGAAAACATTACTACTATATGAACAATGACACACTGAAACGCATGTGCCGCATCACGCTCGCTCATATGTCATGACCTCCCACCCGTGAGAGAGGTGGCCCGACCGAATCCCGATGGAATTCCAATGGAATCCGATGGAATTTCGATGGAATTTCGATGGAAGTCCGATGGAATTTCGATGGAAGTCCGATGGAATTCGATGGAAGTCCGATGGAAGTCCGATGGAATTTCGATGGATGTTCGATGGCATTTCGATGGATGTTCGATGGAATTTCGATGGATGTTCGATGGAATTTCGAGGGAATGTCGATGGCAAATCGATGGAATTTCGAGGGAATGTCGATGGGATTGCGAAGGAATGCCGATGTCATTCTGATGGACATCCGATGGAATTCCTATGGAATCACGATGTAATCTGACAGACATCAACTGCGGTATACTGGAGTGGTGGTCGATCGACTGCACCCGAACAACCCGATAAAACAAACAACAACAACACCATCTCAACCGTGTGACGTCAACAGCAGCCTTCGCATACATACAAGCCTAGGTGATGTACGTCTACCTTCCGTCTAGGGGCCAGAGAGGTGGTGACGAGGCCTCAGCGCCGCCTCCTCCTCCTCCTCTTCCTCCTCTTCCTCCTCCTCCACCTCCTCCTCCATCCATCCTCCCTGGCGCGCGATGCGTCCCAATTATGTGCTGCACAACATAAACAATGCACTATACGTGTCCTCGATCTCGGTGTCAGTGGTCTCATGGCTTCGCGGGGCCTCCCAGGGTCTCCACCAAGTGTGTTCTGCAGCATTATGGTTGTCTTGGGCGCGCGCGCGCATCCTGGGAACCTCATATGTGTGTCTGGGCAAATTGCGAGGATGTCTCAGGCGATGTGCCGATGCGTTTTCACGGTGAGGAGTTAGGAGGACATGAGGGAGACGAACGAGCCAAACCAACGTTCAAATTACATCCAATATGATAGTGTATAAAAAACAACTTGATCCCGGATCAGGCGGGGATCAGATCCTACATGGGCTGATCCCGGATCTGATCCCGGATCTGCGGGATCAAGCTCAGCATGATTTGATCCCGGATCTGATCCGGATCTGATCCCGGATCTGATCCCGGTGGGATCGGGGGATCTTGATCCCGGGATCCTCTGCCCCCCTCGCCTCTGAGCTGAGGCCGGCGCACGTCCGCTGCACATCAGGCCTCGGAAAGCACGCTGCTGGCGAGCCGCCTGGAGCGAGGCCTTGCTCCCGGAAGGCGCCGGGGCACCCTGCCAGAACGTGGCGAGCGCGGGGGCCTGCTGGCCCTCAGAGCGCCCCCCTGGGACAGCTGCTGGCCCCAGGCCTGCCTGCCGGAGGACCCGGCGGCACCTTCCCTGACCACTGCCCTCGGCTGCATGGGAGCCAGCTGCAAAACGCAGCGCCCTGCAAGCATGGCGTCCTGATCGGCACCGCACCCCGCCCATGTGTCGCCACTGGCGCGGCCGATTCGAGGCAAGGAGGCTCCGTGTGTTAGCTTGTTCGTTTGGCGTTTTTCTCCTTCCAGGCAGAGGTTCGTCAGATACGCCAAATCTGGCAACGCATTCCAGGACTCTCCTCCTCCTCCTCCTCCTCCTCCTCCTCCTCCTCCTCCTCCTCTTCCTCCTCCTCCTCATATATGCGATCACTGACGCACCGCGAGCTGCTCGCAAACACGTCCCGCCTGCGCGGGCCGTGGGGAGACACGCGGCATCCGCGGGCGGCGCGGCCCCTCTCCACGGGGCCGCAGCGCCGGCAGCTCGAGGGACAGGGCGGGCCATCGAGGGCTCCAGGTGGTGAGCCTCTGGGCGCCCTTTCCCCAAACAGCCGTGGCCCACTGGAAAACAGCGTGCCCTGCGCAGGTCACCAGCTCGCCATCGCCCGGACGCCCATGCGTGCTATGATCTAGCGTGGCGGTGGTCCAGAAACTGCTACTCGATGGTCCTCGCCGGAAAGAAATGCACGCGTCCGAGCGATGCCGAGACATGGGATCACAGATGGCCCCATGTGGGGTGACGGCCTGCACTGCGGGCGGCTGCAGCAAGGCGCAAGCCGCGCATAGCAGACGGGGGCGCGCCAGACACGAGCAATGTCCGCACCTGCCTGCCCAGAAGTTGCAATCTCCTCGAACGGGTCCGAGCCGAAGCACGCCGAGCCCTCGCGAGATCTACACCACGAACCCCTCCAAGAGTCGCATCCGTGCCTGGGTCCCAGTGGTGCTCGGCTCGAAGGCACGAGGGACCACTGCCCCCGCACTTACTTCTGGACACCACCTGAGCAGAGGTGCTCAGTCTTCCCCATCGCGACTGGCAACTCGAGCTGCATGAAATCCTGGCGGAGAGACCCCGCCCCCCCAGCCAAAGCGGCCACGGCCAGGACGGGCTTACCGCCCGCCTGCAGTGCTGCATCGTCCGCCAGGCTTCTGGTGCATAACAGTGGCCTCTCACCCTTGGCGCGCCGCCGAGGAGCAAACAAGAGAACTTGGCCACCGCTGTTGCCCCCGAACAACTCGCTATGACCGTCCCACTCGAATGCACAGACGAAGACACCCCACCACCATATATATAATACCCCGCATACGTAGTGCACAGCCCTACCCAGGAGCTCCATAGGAAGCCCAAACTGGCGCGCCGCCGGGTAAAGCTCCCTATGCGCAATGTGTTCGTAGCCTTTGCACAAGTCGCCGAGCTACACAATCTTGGAATCGGACCTCGCGTCCCTGCAGAAACTTCCCAAGAGGTGATCGCCCCACCCGACCCTCTCGAACTTGTTAGCTAGATTTGCGCCCCAGACGAACTGATACGTGTGCTGCCGTTCCTGGCGATGGCACACAAAGTTGACGGAAACGGGGCCCTGCCCTTGCAATGAAACAGAGCAGTCGTATGGTCCAACGCCTGCGCCGGCCTTGGCGGTGAACGCCATGCTCGTCGAGAGGGGAGTGAGGTCCTGAGGCAACCCGTCGAAGCTCCGGAGCCCCTGGTCCTCCGACGTATACCCAAGACCCCGCGCGGGCAACAGCGGTCCCACCCCAGCCCGACCCGTGCACATCGCCGCAACACACACCCTCCTCCTTCCCGTCCTCGTCCTCCTCCTCCTCCTCCTCCTCCTCCTCCTCCTCCTCCTCCTCCGCGTGGATAGGGCCCGAGTGGACATAGGGTACCTCCTACATGCCCGCAGCACACCCTCCAGCGCGATGGGAGGAAGTGGCTCCTCGCCCTCAGGAACGGCCAGAAGTGGGCGGAAGCTGCTCGTCTCTCCCGTCGACACACCAAAACTGGACCCACTGGCCCAAGCGATAGTCGAGGGCCACCGACAGGGATGCCTAGACTGGTACGCCGACCGACAGGGATACCCTCCCCGTTGACCATGGCAACGGAACTCTGGAAGACCTTTGGCGCAACACGGAGCGCGCGACCTTCCCTCCTACTTTGACTTTCGCGCACGCGACTGCCCAAGTCCTCCACTCCTTGCGCGCTTGGCGTCCTCCCGCCCCCTCTTGTCCGCCCCTGCCTCCAAATCGTTCCAGTGGGGGTCGCGGCATTCGCCAGCAATCGCCTCGACAGCGAACTCCTCAGGTCGGGCCTCGGAGAGCGGTCCTCCGGCAATGTGCAGTGCGGAGACCATGCTTCCGACCAGCTCTTGCCACTTCGAGAGTGACCACCTCCCTTGACTGCCAATCCGACCTCGACGAGTGTCCTGGCAACGCGGCCACAACGCAGGCACGCTATCCAGGCAGCAGTGGGCTGGCTGGACCTACGCATCTGGTCCCTCTCCCAGGCGACACTGAGTGGCACCTGTATTGCACTTGGGGCCTTCAGACCTCCCAGAGTAACCCACTGAACCTTCGTCGAGCCCATGAGCCTCAAGGCATCGACATTCTGCGAAATCGCATCACTCCTGGGCTGTCAGGTCCAGAGGGACGGTCTCAGCCCCTATCAGGACTCCAAGGCCAGGCATGCTCACGAGGCTCTTGTCAGGGTCCAGTGAAGCCCATCGGGAACGCCTTGAACCTGACCTGCTGGTTGATCGTGGTCATTCTGCGCGAACTTGGCCAACCTCAGGAGAAGAGGAGGAGACGACCGTAGAGAAAGGGGAGGAGGAGGGGGAGGAGGAGGAGGAGGAGGAGGAAGAAGAGGAGGAGGAGGAGGAGACGAGTGTAGACGAAAGGGGAGAAGGAGGAGGAGCATGAGGAGGACCAGTGTATCTATGCACCTCCTGCTCAGCTTAGTCTGCATTCAAGTAATTTCAGTGGTTGCCGCACTCTCTCTCTGACTTGTTCCTGCAAATGAATGATAGAAGCATGGCGCTTAGAGTCAGCTCAGCGCAAAACAAACAGGAGGGTGTGGGAGGCAGGATGGAGGAAAGGACGAGAGGTGACAGCAGGAGGAGGGAGGAAGGATGGAGGAAGGGAGGAGGAGTTCAAAGCAGGAGGAGGAGAGAGGAAGGATGGATGGAGGGGGCGGAGAGGGGAGCAGGAGAGGCTCCTCCTCCTCCTCCTCCTCCTCCTCCTCCTCCTCCTCCTCCTCTTTCTCCTCCTCCTTCCCTCCCTCCCTTCCTCCTCCTCCTTCCCTTCCTCCTCCTCCCTCCCTCCCTCCTCCCCCCCCCCTCCCTTTACAGGACAAGAGGAGGAGCAGGGCCAAGAGGACCCCGCCCCCCCCCCCCCCGAGCGCCTCCCGCCCGCGGGCGTCGGCCCCCTCCTGGCGCCGGCGAGCGCGGCGGCCGCGAGCGGCGCAGAGATCCGTATGCCCATCGGCCGGAAGAAGGTGGGCAGAAGCATGGAGTGGCAAGGCGTTGAAGGTGCCTCCTCGTCCCCCTTCTTCTTCTTCTTCCTCCTCCTCCTCTTTCTCCTCCTCCTCCTCCTCCTCCTCCTCTTTCTCCTCATCCTCCTCTTCCCCCTCCTTGGTCGGAAGGAGCAGGCAGAAACAGGAAGCAGCAAGGCTCAAGTCGGGCGTGTCCCCCTACAGGGGGACGTTCGACGAAAAATGAATCAAATACTCCAAACATGCTCCCAAATTGTCAAACAAATGATCAAAAAGTAGACCCCGGACTATCTTTATGACTATGTTTGAATACTCTTCCTGTAGAGGGATGGGCCCGACCTAAAGCAAGGCGCTGTGAAAGGAGATCGGGTGTCCGCCCGCCCCCTGAAGAGGATGGAAAAGGTGGAAGCCACTTGATCACTGAAGTATGAAGGCGCTGATTTGGACGCCCGAAATGGGCACGGCAAGTATGGGCACAATGCCCAACGACAAATGTTGTCCCAAACCAACAGCGGCCGCTGTGGGCAGGCGGCCTGCTGTCTCGAGTGGACACGGGCCGCGGCGGCGTGGACCGCGAATCCTGTTCGAAATGAACAGGAACTGCTGTTGAGCATTGTACCCATTCTTTCCGTACCCATTTCGGGCGTCCAGATACTGGACGGCGTGGACAGCGAATCCTGTTCAAAATGAACAGGAGCTGCTGTTGAGCATGGTACCCATTCTTTCCGTACCCATTTCGGGCGTCCAGAGATTACAGTGGATTGGAATGCGTGACTCCAGACATACCTGCTTTCGCCGACCGATGGGTGCCCGCGCCCTCGCGGGGACGACTCTGGGGGCGCGGCCCCGCGTGGACAAAGATCGAGACGGAGGTGTTCCTCGAAACCTGCGGCCTCGATGTGTGCCCTTAGAGGCCTCCTATATGGGGTCGGAGTAGATGGGTTCGGAGGATCGCGCTGGGTCGCCGATACATCGGAGATGTATTGGCGATGCACGGGCGATGCATCGTCGACGTCGGCGATGCATCGGTGACGTCGGCGTGGAGAAAAACGTGCTGAGGATAAGATCGGGGACCTCTGAGCTCCGCCGGATCTGGAGGATGTCTCGGGCGCCGCAGCCTTCTCAGAACGTCCCGGCACGCTCTGGAACGGATTATCCGCGTCCAAGCCCCGTCCGACTGCCACCCTATCAGCGCCCTCGCGGTCTGGACTCTGGGGCGCGTGATTCCGCGGATACGCCGTCGCACGGATGCGCTCCGCGCGAGGAGCATCCGCGACAACAAAAAACGCCCCCCATGTGCTCGGCGTGTCGGGGATCTGCTTACCCGGGTCAGTCCAGACCCTGCTCACTCGTGCTTTGCAGGATCCTGCAGAATCCTGCACCCTGACCCAGATGAAGGCACCCCTGGCTCTGCAGGATCCTGCAAGATCCGGCGCTCTGGCTGACCCCCGTCTGAATTGACCCCCGTCTCTTCCCGTCTCTAGGTGCCCCAGCCCGCGGACGCGCGTCATGCTCGTCGCGGTCGCGGGGAGAGGGGGCCAGGCGGCATCTGCCCGCCAGGCGGGCAGTGCCGCCAGGGGGACGGAGGGAGCGGCAGCGCCAGCCCAAGAAGCCCAGAAGGAAGCTGAGGACCCGGAGACCCGACGCCGTGCTTGTGCGGAGATTTGTCTTGACCTCTCGGCCTTGCAAATCTGAGCGCGCCCCGCTGTACGGGGACCCGCGTTCCGGACAGCACAGAAGCCCAGGCAGACAGCGCGGCCTACTCTTGGGCGGGAGCACTCTCGACAAACGTGGCATGGGTCGTGCTTTTTCGGGGCGTAGACCCCCGGGGGTTAGGAGGCAACGCCTGAGAAGTCTGCGCCAGGACCATGATAAGCTGTCAGACCCGATAAAGGGGCCACTGAGCCGGATGGCGCCAGATTGCGCCCAGGACAAGGCAGGATTATATGCAGGAGTGAGCTGGAGGAAGTGGGATCGAACCGGATCGAGCGAGACAAAAACAGGTTCGGCCAGCTTCGACACGGGATATGCCAGCGCCGATTCTGAAGGCAACCTCCCGAGACATGCATCCGAGCTGGGGGTACTCCGGATTCTAAATTTCCGTCGAGGTTCTAGGCAGCTCAAATAGGTCTATAGGTCTGGAGGGCCATTTGTCAGCACTCTGGAAGGTCAGGGAATGGCGGGAGAAGAAAGGTGCACCTCTCGATCTAGAGGCCCCCTGTTGGGCCGGCCCCTTTTCTGAAGCCTTCACTGCCCCCCACTGAGCGCCCGCTCCCTTGCGCGACGCCCAATCCAAACCACCCTCCCCCCCCCGAGCCGGTTTTCCATCGAGAGTAGTTGTCTTGGGCCCCCCAGGGGCGGGAAGCAGTCAGAAACCCTGCGTCCGAACGGTCTCCCACGACGCCAACATTCGAGGAGGAGACCGACAGCAGACTTAAGTAGTTCGAGGGCACGATATCCAACAAAAAAACGCTCAGCAACCGAAAAGGGGGGGGAAGGGCCCCCCCCGTGCACGAAAGGTGGCGGGGGGCCCAAGCGCCTCCCCTCCCCCGGGCACACTCGCACCTCGGCTCCTCCCCTGGCGCCCCCTCTCGACTCTCCACCGGCGTCCTTTCGCCTCCTCCCTTTCATGTGGCGCCGGGGACGACGGGGAGGTGCCAGAGGAGGTGGCCCCACCCCCACTCGTGCGCCGGAGACGAGAGGGAATGCTAGACCCAGGAGGGAGGGAGGAGGGCCCCCCTTCGGCTCCCCCCCCCCCTGTCGTGCACGGAATGCTCCCTCCCCCCCCTCCCTCCCCTCGTGCGCCACGGACGACGGGGAATGCTTGGGGGGAGGGAAGGGAGGGGGTAGGCCTTCCCCCCCCCCCCCCTTCACTCGTGCGCCAGGGACGACGGGGGCATGCTGGGGGCCCTTCCCCCTCCCCTCCCCCGCCTTTCGTGCCCAAGGGGGGGGAGGAGCCTCTCGCCCCCTTCCCCTCCCCCGTTTTTTCCTGGATGTTGCTCGATTGTGCAGACCGAATTCAAGCCTTTCGAGGCTGTAGACGAGCACTTTCGGGGCTGCTGAATCGAGCTGGTGCAATCGGGAGCTTTGCTGCTGTACTAGTTCTCGAGATTCACTTCGCCAACCGAGCGCGCGCAACACTTATGGTCACAGGGCGAGTTGCCACCCTGAACGATTCTGCTCTTCAAGATACTCCGATCGAACTGAGATCAAGATGGCGAACAACAAGTATTCCAATGTTGTCTGGACATGTATCCTGGCTCAAACGAACTGTCAAACATCTCCCAGCATATGTTTCAACTCGGCTGAAGCACCCCACTTGTCCGTCGACACGTTTCGGGGCAACTCGCCCGCCAGTGATCCCGTATTACTCTTAGCTTCCGCTGCTCCGCTGTCTGGGACGCTCTACGAGTCGCAGGCATCCCACGCGCTCTGGACTTCGCTGCTGTGAAGGTTTGGAACGCTAGCTCCTTGCAGCGCTGAGCTGTAGGGCTTTAGAATCAGAAGCCTGCGCCGCAGGGTAGCCCCGGAGCTCGTCCCGACCTTCGCGAAAACATCTTGGCGCGCCTGGCCTGAACTGGGCGCCGGCGGTAAACCCTCAAACAAGGTTTGGAGGTCGCTTGGGGGGCAGCGCTAATTCCAGGGCCAGATCCCAATGCGCTCAGCTGGCGCGCTTGATACTTCAATAACATTCCTTACGACACCCGTTCGCACCGACGATTGGGCTGCTTAGGCTTGCTCTTGCCCTACAAGCATTACCTTCTCCTCCGTCGCCCCATAAACACAGACCGCGTTCGCTGCCCCTCAACGAGCTGAAAACCAAGATTACCGCCTGGGACACGTAGAGCTTCTGCCCGAGCACAGACACCTCGAGAGAAACTGATTAACCAAGTCTCTCGAGGCTGCAGACTGCAGGGTTTAGCACAAGGACCGCGCAAACCAGCAGAATGGCCGGATCAGTTGTCTGATCAAAGCTCGAGACCAACTCCGCAACCGAACGCGCGTAACAAAAAATAGTTCCAGGGCGAAGTGCGCCATGGTAGATTTCGCTTTTTTAATGCTTTATTCGAGCTGAGATCAAGATGGCGAACAAGAATTATATCGAAATTGTCCGGGACAAATTATCCCGGCCCAAACGAATCGTCAAACATCTCCCAACATATTTTTCAACTCAACCCAAAAAATCGTCCGACGAGATCTTTCGGGCCAAATGACCCGCCGGTGATCCCGTATTATTGGGCGCTGGCGGCAAGTACAACGCCTGCCCCTTGGCGACTGGAGAACTTATACTCCCGACGCGCCACCGTAGTAATACAAACCTGTTCTTCTAGCCGCCCTTGGGCATGCAGCACCGATGGCGGGCAAGTTTCTGCTATACCGCTAGGCGCCCATTGAAGGGGGATCGGATCGGATCGGCTATCCGCCCCAGCACCTGCTACGAAGTACCTGCCAGGAGGAAGGTATTGATCTCTGTATTGACAGTCCCTGATGCCCGACAAGCGGGCTCATCCCGTCCTCCAAGGAACGAAGAAACAAAACATATGGCTGGAATTAGGGGGACCGTAAATACCCCCAACCCAGTTCAGGGACTGACGCTCCTTCAATCCTCCTCCCCCCACACTCCATGAATAGAGGCCTCCCAAATGGGGTCCGAATAAATGAGGTCGAAGGCTCGCGCCGCATCGCAAATGCATCGCCGATGCATCGGCGATGCATCAGCGCCATCGGCGTGGACAAAATCGAGTTCCACATCGAACCGCATCGTCGACGAATCGGAGATGCGGCTCGTTCCTGGGACCCCGTCTGCTCGGACCCCGTGTCGGAGGCCCAGGTGGAAGCTTCCGCAGAAGCCGCTAAAGGAGAGGCGTAAGCAGGCGGCCCTGACATTAGAAGAAACAGCTGCGTTAACATTCATTTTTGGCGGGCGCTCCGCGCGGACTTCGCGGCGCTGGGGGCGCTGCAGGTGGGGGCCCAACGCGGATCCAAGAAATCCGCGCAGAGCGCCAACCGTTTATGTTTACGTCGTTCTTGCATCGATAAAAAAGGGAAGCAAAAAAGAGGCGGCCCACACATGCGACGTCCCGATTCTTCTTTTTTCAACACGGAAGAATGTTTCAAGTCGCAGCGACTGTGGGAGTCCTGGGCGGGGGGGGCGCCCGCCCCCCCCCCCACCGTGTGGGTCCGCGGGCTGTGGCGTCGAACGCACTGCGGCGGTGCTGGGGCGCACTGGTGGGGGGGGAAGCGTTCCGCAATGTCAGCTTGTGATTAACAAATCCGAAGGGGCGCGCGTTTTTTTATTTTTTTTATATATATATATATATATATATATATATATATATATATAAAAACAAAAAAAAACAACCGCTCGGGCGAATCGCGGGGTGGCGCCCGCCAGATTGAGAATCAGCGGGGCGGCGCCGGTGATCAGCGCCGACGGCCCGCCGCCAACGAGGGGCAAGCAAGGGGGGGGCGTTCGGAGGCAAGGCCGAGCCAGGGAGCCCCTCTTTTGAGCGAGCAACGACATATGTACATGTACGCCCTCCGCGATCTTGAGTGCACGAACGTCCTCGTTCAAATGCCCTCCAGGGGAAGCTAACCGCGTACGTGTACATATGTTGCTGGCCTCTGATCTTTCTTAGGGGGAAAACAAACCTACCTCGCTTTTGACCACCCTCGCTTCCAAGAGATACCAAACGATGCCAAACTACGGCCTGTACTGGTCGGGCCGCCCGACAAGGAGGCGCGTGGTATGGCTCGGTTTTGTCTGGAAGCGGAAGCGGGGGAGGTTATTCACGCTCTGATTTCTGTCGAACCGATCCGGGCCTGCGGGCAGGGCGGGCTGGACACGGGTGGGGTGCAGCACGGGGGGGATTTTTGCTAAGCAGCTCACGTCGCCCTTTTTCGAAACGCCCCCTGGAGCCGAAGGCGGCCCTGCGTCGAGGACTGGCCCTTCGGCGGGGCGGCCGAAACCAGCTGCGCGCAGCAGGCTTCGCACCACCCCCCTTTCCTTCCCCAGCCTCTCGCCCGACCCGAGCAATGCGGGTAGTCCTCCTCCTCCCTCTGTCGCCGTCGTCGCCGCCGTCCCCCGCCCTGCCTGCGCCCGTTTCCAGCGGCCGCTCTCTTCGTCGCTCGGGCCCGAGTGTCTTTCGCGGGGCCCCAGACCCCCGGAGGTCGCCCTCGGTCGTTTGTCGGCCTCGCGGCCCGCCAAGCGCCGCAGACGGGGGTCCATCCCCTCTCCTACCCCCCTGGCGCGCGTGATTTTTTTTTTTTTTTTAAAAAAAAAAAAAAAAAAAAAAAAAAAAAAAAAAAAAAACGCGCCCCGCGGGGTCTACTCATCAGCCCCGGTGGGGGGAAAGGGTCTGGTCATTTGTTAATCACAAGCTGACGTTAACGCTTCCCCCCTTCCCGGAGGAAGGGGGGAGGACTCCTCCCCCCCCCTCCTCCAGGAGGGGAGGGGAAAGGGGGGAAGCATAACGTTATGTTGTTCCCATCCTACTTGAAGACCACATCCCAGAAATAAGTTCGAGCACCCGGAAAACGGTCAAAAGAGTGTCGAAAGAGTGTCGAAACAGTGTCGGGCGAGTGTCTCCCAGGGCCTGACACGTGAAAACCCCTGAGTTTCCGTACTTTTTTGGGCGCTCGAAATTCTTCCTGGTGGTCTAAAGTAGGTTGGAGCATCATAACCTTAGGGGAACAAAAAATGACATAAACATTGAAACTCGGAGGTCCGCGCGGATTTCTCGGATCGGCGCTGGGACCCCCCGGCGGCGCCTCCGGCGCCGCCCCTGGCGCGCTCCGCTCCGAGAAATCCGCGCGGACCTCGGAGTTTTTATGTCGATGCCATTTTTCGTTCCCCCAGTTCTGGCTCTGGGGGTCAAAATTTGATCCCCGAAACCTGTCTCGGGGCGCGTTCTGACCGGAATTGCGGCGCGGACCCAGCCGTGGCGACGAGGAGCCCCCTGGTGGCCCCAGGGAGGGCCCGAAGAGTCCAGGTCCGACCCCCGATCGCGAACCCCTCGATCCTCGATCCTCGACCTCGGAGCATGCCTGGTGCCTGGGGGCAGCGAGGAGCTCCTGCCAAGGACGCCCGAGAGCATGGGCATCGGGCGGCCCCGCCCCGCCGCGGGGGAGGGCCCCGGGGGGGGGGGGCAAGCACCTTCTGGAGATGATCAGCTCCTCCTCCTCCTCCTCCTCCTCCTCCTCCTCCTCCTCCTCCTCCTCCTCCTCCTCCTTCTTCTCCTCCCCGGGGAGCTCCGCTCAAGGGCGCGGCGGCACCGGCGGCGTGCGAGCCGCGCAGCCGCGGCCGTGCTCGCGCCGCGAAGACAGGGCAGCACAGCAGGGGCCCGACCACCAGAGACCTCTAGGGCTCCCAACTTCGCGCTCTCGCGCTGCGCGAAGCGCGAGAGCGCGAATAACTTCGCGCTCTCGCGCCGCCCTCCCAAAGGGAGAATAGGAGGACGAGGAGGAGGAGGAGAAGGAACGAGGACCGCGAAGCGCGAATAACTTCGCGCCCTCGAGGGAGCCCTTGAGACCTCCCACGAGAGAAGCCCAGCCCTGAGGCCCCAGGACGACGTCCCTGGGTGTTTGGTGCGGGAACGTCACGCACTCCACGGCAAAACCATCCCCTGACTTTCCAGAGAGCTATGTTTTAGCACGGGAGGCCTAAAAACCTAAAAAACTAAACGAAACAGCCTGAAAACCAAGACGTAGAATAGCTCTGGGATAGGTTTTCAAGTCGGGTGCCATTTTCTTGCCCTCCTGGAAGGCCAGACTCGAGACTGAAGAAACCCGGGGCACCCTGGACGCAAGCGGGGTGCTGCTTGGCATGGGCCTCCACTGGGCGGAGAGCCTTCGGCCGTGCTCGGCCTGGTTCGCCCCTGGGGGCGCCTGGCACACCTGGAAGCAGGGCACGCGCGGCGCGGCCGGCCCGAGGCGAGAGCTGCGCTGCCAGGCACGCTCGCGTCGTATAAGCGACTCGCGACCTCCTGCTCCTCCTCCTCCTCTTCCTCCTCCTCCTCCTCCTCCTCCTCCTCCTCCTCCTCCTCCTCCTCCTCCTCCTCCTCCTCCTCCTCCTCCTCCTCCTCCCCCTCTGGGAGCTCTCTAGCTCTCTCGCCGGGCCCCTCGGGCCCATGACAACAACAGGACCCGGGAGGGGGCTCCTTGGCCCCGGGAGGGGCGAGGGGGAAGAGAGGTGCACTCCTCGGGCCCTCCATGGGCTCCCTTTGGGCCCCAAAGGGCCCTCTATTCGGGGAGACGTAAGACCCGGTTACGGGGGACTCGGCAATCCCCGACGAGGTCGTCAAAAAGATGACGAGGCCGAGGCTGCATTTTGCCGAGGCCTCCCGCTGCAGACATCCCACGAAACTCCCCCTCGTCAAAATCCGAGGCGCGGTCGTCAAAAAACGATGGCGAACCCGAGTCCTGGCAAACCCGGGTCTTACGCTCCCCCGACAGGAGGGCTTCGTTCCTGCAGCCCCCGCTGCCGCCCAGTGATCGCCCCCCCAAGTAGGGCGACGCCCACTTCGGCTTCCGGGTGGCCCTTGCCGGGCCTCGGGGCCGTCGAGAGGCACCTCGGGATGCAGAGGAAACCAGTCCTGGGGAAAGGGTCAGGACGCTCCTGTCTGGGGCGTGGGCCCCTCTGGCGGCCGGCGGGGGGCCTGCTCTCTGATCTCCGCTCCACGTGGGATCCTGCGCGGCAGCCTGGCACTGTCCGAGCTGGGCTCGAATTTGACCAGGGCGGAACACATCTGGGACCAGAGTTGGACCCGAGTCGCCCCTGCATTGGAGGAGGAAGTGGTACCGCTAGCCGCTACCCTTCGCTCGTTTTTATCCTCTTCGGGCCTCCTGTGAGGTCCTCGTCGCCACCGCTGGATTCGCCTCGAAAGTTTGGTCAGAACGCACCCCAGGAGAGGTCCAGGGAGTAACAGTATCAGTGCCTTTTTGGTTTCCTCACTTCACAACCTTGAGATCCAACGTTGCGACAACAAATGCAACATCGTGAATAATCACGACCAAAATGCCAGACCCCATCTTTCCGCGTCATCTTTCCAGGAGGGGGAGGCGAGCAGGACGAGGAGGGGGAGGAGGGGGAGGAGAACGACAGGGAGGGCGGGGAGGAGCCGGAGGAAGGGCCACGTGCGGCCCCACTGCGGTCCCGAGGGCACCCTCACTTCACAGCCTCGAGATCCAACGTTGCGACAACAAATGCAACATCGTGAATCACCACGACCAGAGTACCAGAGACCCCATCTTTCCGCGTAATCTTCCCAGCTGGATCCTTCTGTGAGGGCCCAGGGGCCGGAAGCTGGGCGAAAAACGCCCGCTCTGGAAAAAAAACGGCGCGGCGCCAGGATCTCAGGGAGGGGGAGGCGAGCAGGACGAGTACACCCTGCGAAATGCTTAAGAAATCATGGGTTCAGAAATTCATAGTCTCAGAAATTGAATAAAACCCAGAACTTCTATCAACATCTTGGGATTTACATTGGAAAGTTAAGAATAATCGAGACTCTGGACGAAAACTTAGGTTTTCTTAAGCATCGCCTAAGGTGTAGGGGGAGGAGGGGGAGGAGAACGACAGGGAGGGCGGGGAGGAGCCGGAGGAAGGGCCACGTGCGGTCCCACTGCGGTCCCGGGGGCACCCTGTCTGCTCCGTCGCGCCTGACTGTGGGCGCCGCCAGCTCGCTCGGCTCTCTTCGTGGGGCGGGGGGCGCGCGTCCGGCCTGCGCCGCCCCCTCCCGAGCAACAAAAACGTGACGGAGGCGCAGTCAACGCGTATAGGGGCACAGGATGAGGATGCAAGGGAGGAGGAGGAGGAGGAGGAGGAGGAGGAGGAGGAGGAGGAGGAGGAGGAGGAGGAGGGCCTTGAGGGCCATGTCGGCGCTTGGCGATCGGGGCGCGGCGAGGCCAAAGG